GATTCAAATATAATTTAAAACAACACAGCAACATATAAATTAAACCACTTTCGAGGTAAGCTGCACACTTCACACATTATCACAGTCACCATTTACACAGAATAAACAGTTAACAGCTGTACTCAGAACATATTATTGTAAGGTATACCAATTTTAGTTTGTATTATATTTATTTTAGGAATTCTTATGTATACTTTTTTTTTTTTTTTAAACTTCATTACTTTAATCTACTATAGTATTGTATATAGAGAAAGGATCCATTTATATAGCGCACTCATAACTCAAATATTTGTATGAAACTTCCATTAACTAATCTGAGATGATACTGCATCAACTTAAATCTTATAGAAATTGAGCAAACATTTGGACCAGATTACACAGACATGGTTTCACCAGAATATACAGAACTCTCAGAGACTTAAAAAATGTATAGACCGGTCAGTCTCCAAGAGCCTTAGTAACACAGGTAAAAACCTTTGTCCATGATCTCTGATCCAGGCTATATACCACAATTTAAAAGAACAGAACACATATAATGTGAGACATAGAAGACACAAAACATATGCAGTAGCTGAATCATTTAAAGCATCTGTAGCAATAAAAAGGTTAGCTTACGGCACAAAATAAAGCATGTGTTGGACCGCTGAAAATGTAAATGTTGCGCTCTTATTTACAAACAAAAATCATATTTACAGTATGGATCCTCTGCAACAAACACACAGGGCAGGGAAGATGTGCTGATTGGTGTTCTATACAATTAATCCCATATGGGGAATTAACTTTCAAATACTAATGAAGTGACTTTTTGTCTCAGTTATAAAAATACTGAGCTCATCATGCAAACAATGCAACACATTTACACTATCCCACTCTCATAGAAAGTGTAGTGGGCTTATGGTATTAAAGTAACAATCATACCAGGCACACAGATCCCATGTGAAATAACTTGCAATAAAACAGAGTAATAAACTTATACTTCTATGCAACAGAAAGAATAAAACAAAAGATTTAAGTAGGTCTATCAGGTACAACCTGCGAGTCAGTTCTTTTCTAATATACAGTACTGGTATCTTTTATACATATATATATACATATACATACATACACATACATATATATATATATATATATATATATATATATATATATATATATATATATATATATTGGTCACTCAGGACCTGAACTCACATTTCCCATACTGCTGACTCAGGGTGGACACACTACTAACTTACCAAAGTGTGTCCCCAGTATAGACAATCACCCAATTGATGGAGAATCATTGTTTGCAATAAAGACATGGACACTACAAATGTGCTTTAACAAGATTCTCAGTGAGTATATTTTCAGGGTTAGCATATAAAGCAAAAAGAGTTAACCATTTCATATCCTTACAGTCAGCACTAATGATTATAAACCTTATTTAAGCATAAAATACATATGAACAAGAAAAGTTAACTACTTCATATTCTTGTATGGTAATTTCTCATTCCTAGGACAGATCTTTCAAACACTTATTCACACTCACAACCAGACTTCACTAATGACAATTAGAGGGTGGACAAGGTGAACCTGAAACTCTGTGCACACTATCGTAGTATATTCACTTATATACTAAATTCTCTGTCTATATCACTTTATAGACTTCCTTTTATCTGTCTAATTCTCTTAAAACTGAGTCACATAAAACACATATACAAAATAACCTTTCCTAAAATGATGTAGACTTACAAAACCATGGGGATCATAGATTCAGGGCGTCAAGATAGACACAAGGAATTACTACTCACCCAAAATGGTTTGGCTACAATCCCACGTTCTGACACCAAGCTGAAAGGTAAATCTGCTACTCTGGTGACTTGGTCCCTCTGGTCACTATTCTCCAACCCTCGATTGTCAGCTGAATATTCAGGGAAGATTTTTATGGAAGCGTATTAACCAGACACACACTCTTTGCTTTCCATAATCTTCTAATCGTTTATTCAAGATTTGCTATATTTATATTATACTTGTCATGAATATTGGTTACAAAAGGTTACAAAAAGGTTACACAAGATACATAAAAGAGGAAGTAGTTTCTGCTGTTACATTCAATATTCAATAATCTATTCTTACAAAATATCACATGTACATTGTGGCTAAGTGTATCCTGTTACATAAAAAGACTTTCAGTTATGTTTTGTAAGCGGTTCTGCAAAAACAGCTTACTACTACATTTACAAAATAATTCAATTTATACAATACTGACAGATTAATTGTTTAACCCCTTAAGGACCAAATTTCTGGAATAAAAGCGAATCATGACATGTCACACATGTCATGTGTCCTTAAGGGGTCAATATTCCTTCGGATGGTAGCTGGGGCGGGTGCTGCTTGGCGGTACTCTACTCTGGCAGGAGTCTTACCCAGGGCACTGTCCATTTTACGGGCATCCATGTACTCGTCTGCCAGGCGAGCTGCTTCATGTAGAGTGGAGGGTTTACGGTCCCTTACCCACTCTCTGACGCCTGGGGATAACTTCTCAAAGCAGTGCTCCAGTAAGAACATCTGCAGCACCTCTTCCCCGGATACGGCTTGGCACCCTGCCATCCAGTGGGCAGCTGTGCGGTGCACTTTACATGCCCATTCCACATACGAATCCCCAGCTGCGTTGGAAGTGTCTCTGAATCGCCTCCTGTATGCCTCCAGTGTAACGGCATACCTGGAGAGCAGAGCTTCCTTCACTGTTACATAATCTCCAATCTCCTCATCTGGAATGGCCCGAAAAGCATCACTGGCCCAGCCGGATAACTTGCCTGATAATATAGTGACCCAGTCCTCCGGGGGTACCTTGTGTAGAGCACATTACCGCTCAAAATCAGCAAGGTACCCATCAATCTCTCCTTCTGTCTCCACAAACGGTTTAAACGCTGTAAACGGCACTTTCCTTTTCTCCACCGGGTTTGCTGGGACTGGGGCTGCTGCAGCACCGTTTTGGTGTAGCAGGTTGGCCTCCACAGCGGCTATGACCCGGTCAATGTTCTCTATAGTCGGGTTGGGACCATAATGAGCCAGCCTGATTCTTACCACCCGGTCAAAGCTTGCCTCCTCGGGGGTTCTGTCAGCTGTGCTGGGCCCATTGGTTCCTTCAGCTCCTGGTACTCCATCCATTTTGTTCAAAATGGCAATAATCTCCCTTTTCCTGAGATTACTGGCTTGTCTGCCTCTATGCTCCAATAAATCCTTTAGGGTAGCTCTTTTCAGCCTTTCGTACGGTATTTCCATTTAATCCTGGCTGTAGTGGTCTCTCTGGGCGATGAGGGTCATCCCGTCGCTTGCCACCAGTTGTTACGGTACCCTCAGCAATAAATGTACAAACAGCCGTTTAGTGAATGCTCCCCTTTCGCAATAGCATAGGCTGCATGCGTATCTAGTACAATCATGCGAACCGCAAGCAAGGGAACACTGCAAACTCACGAACGGGATCCGTACGGGCACTTCACTCCACGAGCTCCAAACTCACGAATCGCCAAAAGTAGCCGAACGCATATATCTCCCAAGCGGCTAATAATCCCATCCAGCAGTCTCTAGTCGTCGGTAATAAATCCCCCCCAATAACGAGACGAGTTAACCTGCTTAGGACAGAAGGCCTATAATGTTGATACAAAAGATACTACTTGGTGGTCAGCTTCAAATGTCTCGGAACCTACTAATCCGTTTGCCAATTACACTAATTTGAAAGAGGGATGGTTTGATTTATCTGCTACATCCAATAGGAAAGCCCCAGCAAATCTATACTGGATTTGTGGTAAGAAGGCATATTCAGAGTTACCACAAGACTAGGAAGGGGCATGTGTGCTAGGTATGCTCAAACCATCCTTCTTCTTGTTGCTAATTGAAAAAGGAGTTGAGGCTTGTGATGTAAATCATAAAAGGAAGCGAGCATCTTTAAATATAGGTAGCTGGGAAGATGATTAGTCGCCTCCCCAACGTATTATTAATTATTATGGACCTGCTACTTGGGCAGAAGATGGTACTTATGGATATAGAACTCCAATATATATGCTCAACCGTATTACAAGACTACAGGCGGTAGTTGAGATTATCACCAATGAAACAGCGCAAGCACTCTACTTCTTAGCAAAGCAGAATACCCGGATGCGATCAGTCATATACTAGAATAGGCTAGCCCTTGATTACTTACTAGCAGTAGAAGGAGGTGTATGCGGGAAGTTTAATCTAAGTAACTGTTGTCTGCACATAGATGATGAAGGGCAGGCAGTGGCTGAACTTACCAGTCACATGGTTAAACTTGTGCATGTACTTACTCAGGTCTGGAGTGGGTATAACCCAAGTAGTTGGTTTGGAAGTTGGTATGAGCAGCTTGGAGGGATTAAGGCACTAGAAGGAGGAGTAGAATTAATTATATTTCTTATGCTTCCTCCTGCCCTGTCTACTCCCACTAGTGGTCAGATCTATACGTAGTGTTATAGAGAGCACTATAGAAAGAGAGACAGCTGCCCATGTAATGGCTGTCTGGAAGTATGAACCCCTAGCCCACAGAGAGAATAATCGGGATGAGGAATGTTGAGAGAGCACGAAGTTAAGTTAGAATGATTACAAGGTCCAGGCCCGGACTGGCCATCGGGCATACCGGGCAAATGCCCGGTGGGCCGCGATGGCCGTGGGGCCGAGGCCAGCAGGGAGATCACAGAATCTCCCCTGCCAGCCCGTGCAGGACCAGCGCTACCCGAGCGCCGGCCCTGCTGTGTGCCTCCATGGGCCGGTGGGGAGATCAAAGATCTCCCTCACCGGCCCACAGACAGGGAGATGCTGCCGCCGGTTGGGGAGGGAGGCAGGAGAGAGGACCGGCGGAGCTCGAGCCAGCAGCTCCGCTGGGTCCTCTCGCGGGATTCTGAGCATTGCCGCGGTTACCACGGCAACGCTCAGATCTCGCAAGAGTGAACTCTAACCTGCAGGATAGAGTTCACTCTCACCACTCGACCACCAGGGAAGGCAGCATGGCTCCCTCCCCCTCCCAGGCTAAAGGTAAGAAGGGAGGGGGGGGGGCATAACTTTTTTTTAAATTATTAATAAAAAAATATATATATATTTAAAATAAATTCCCTAACAGCCCCCTCACAAACAGCACCCCCAGACACACACAGCCCCCTCACACACAGCACCACAGACACACACAGTCCCCTCACACACAGCACCCCCAGACACACACAGCACCCCAGATACACACACAGCACCCCAGACACACACAGCACCCAGACACACACAGCACCCCCAGACACACACACAGCAACCCCAAACACACACAGCACCCCCAGACACACACACAGCACCTCAGATACACACACAGCACCACAGACACACACAGCACCCAAACACACACAGCACCCCCAAACACACACAGCACCCAAACACACACAGCACACACACACAGCACCCCCCAGACACACACACAGCATCCCCAGACACACACAAACACACACAGTGCACCCAAACACACACAGCACCCCCAGATACACACACAGCACCCCCACACACACACACAGCACCCCCAGACACACACACAGCACCCCCAGACACACACAGCACATCCAGGGACACACACACACATATATATATATAATATAAAATAACCCTCTTACACAAACACACTGCGCACCTCACACATACAATACGTCCAAATATATATATATATATATATATATATATATATACACACACACACACTACAGCACCCCTCACACTGCACCACTACACACATTACGCTCCAGATACATGCTAGATCCCTTACCCTATATGCACTCTTAATCCTCTACACACACACACACACACACACACACAATCTTCTATACACACTCTGGGTCCTTTACACACTAGATCTCTTACACACACACTGCACCACCTACACACACACACTACATTCCTTGTAAGCAAACACATACAACATTATCTAAACACACCCTCTCTACACACAGTAGTGTGTGTGTATAAGTGACACACACTACGTCACCTATACACACACACTACTGCCCGTATGCACACACTCGCTACATCCCCTATAACACTATGCCCCTATACACGCATTCTCTACAGCCCCTAGCCACACATATTACACCACACATATTACACCTATTTACACAATACCACACCACACTCTACACACAGGCAATCCCACAAGCAGGCGCCAAACACATGCACCATACACTTTCCTGGCCCTTTTGTCCTCTGGTATCCCACTTGTGGAGACACCAGAGACAATTTAAAAGCAAACACAGCGCAAGCATGTTATTACATTTGCTTGCGCTGCGCAGAACAAATTCAGGGCCTTTTTCTAATGCCAGAGCTCTTCAGCGGGGCTCTGCGCATTGAACCAACATGCTCACTTTGAGAGGGGGCGTGCTTGTCATTAGTGATGACAAAACACACCCTCTCTGGCCCCGCCCCCTTCTTGGGCTCACTTTGAGA